TTTTAAATAGTCTATCCTAAAAGAGTTTTGGTTATATAAGATTCAAATTAGATTTAAGTAAGTTTTTTTAATTTTTGTAATTTTTTTATCTTATAGATAAAGTCATAATGTTATTTTAAATTTATTTAATTTTCAAATTTTGACTAACAATAAAAAGTAAATAAATAATCACCATTCTAATTTAAAGAAGAAAATATTGAACTCTCTAAATAAAATTAGAATTTGAAATCAAATTTAAAAAAGAAAATCTAAAATCAGCTAATAAATAGAAAAGTTATCTAAATACTAATAAATTTTAGTTATTTTTTAATTTTTGAGCATTAATACATTTTGAGTCTTAATGGTAACAAAATTTAATCAAGTATATAAGTTCTATTGATTTATTAATTTGAAATTTAGAAAAATAATATAATAAGATTAATTGCAAATTTAAATTAAAATTTTAATAAGGTGGAGTTTGGACTTAAAATAAATTATCTAATTTAAAAAAGTTTTCGTTATATAAGTTTTAAATTAGATTTAAATAAGATTTTTTAATTTTATTTATCTTGCAGACAAAGTAAAAATGTTAATTTGAATTTATTTAATTTTTAGTTTTTGACTAATTAATAATAAAAAGTAAATGAATCATCGCCATTTTAATTTAAGGAAGAAAATATTGAAATTTTCAAATAAAATCACAATTTAAATTTAAATTTAAAAAATGAAAAATTAATATTAGTTGATAAATAAAAAAGTTATCTAAATATTAATAAACTTTTTTTAAAAAAATTTTTGAGTGGCAGTAAAATTCAGTAAATAGTATTGACGAATTTATGAAGAGATCATTTTATTTTTAAAATTGTGAAACTCTTATAGTTGGTTTGCTTTTTTTCTTTTTTGAGCTGGGGGAATTTGAGGGAAGGGAGGAAGTTTTTTCAAATAATTGGTGAAAGTAAAATCCTCAACTTTTTGAATCCAAACTCTTAGACCTAATGGTCAACCATTAGGTCAAATTGGGCTAGTTCAGAGTTGATTATAGTAACTTTGGTTTGAGTAAGAAGAAAAAGGAAGAAAAGATTATTTTTATCAATTAAATTAATTTGTTTGACTAACAACTAATTTGATGGTTAAAATTCCTTCTTCCTTCCTCTTCTTTCAAACTAAGCAGACTCTTAAGATGAAAAATAACTCATCACAAATAATCATATTAGTTGAAATCGTTGCATTAATTTATCAAAGTGATTTAAAATCAAATTATTTAGATCTTTAAACTGTTATATGTTTTGGATATTATTATTATCACATTTTTAATTATTAATATTATACATTATTATTTTAACTAAATAGTATTCTCTTTAATTCATTTAATAAATAAAAAAAATTTAATTTCAAGAAAAAATTTAATGTAAAAATATAATAATCAGTCAAATTTAAAATGTGTGACATTATCTATTGAACAAATGATAATTAACCCACCTTTATATCTTAGAAAGGACAACAATATCGAGGGAATTTCTTTTTAAAAAGATTTTAATCAGCTAAAGGAAAATGAAGGATAGAGAATTGCAAATGCAATTTAGATATTAGGAAATAAATGACACAGAAAGAAAAGGAGGGACTTACACCGTGCGCAAGTGTTTGGGAATATTAGTAGTGCTTCCTTGTATAATAAATAGATTATCTTAATCTTTTTTCTTATTTTTCTCTGTTCCAACATTTCTTTTTATTAAAAACAAAAAGGGGCATCCTCCAATGTGTCAAGGCATCAATCTTTTCTAGGAAAGAGGCAATGATAGGATGACAATGGGTCCTCACGAGGGCGGTGATCCCTTCTCCATTCTCATCCTCGCCAAAGGTGGGTACGGGGATTTCTACGGGGATTTTTGATAGAAATTCAAAAATAACCTTCATCCTCATACCCACGGGAAATGATAGATCCTCGTAAGTATTCGAAATCTCCACCAAATAAAAATATCACTTACTCCACTGCCTGTTAATCAAAATTAAACTCAACATGGATCTGTTTAGACTCCACTAGTTTCCACATTCATCAAATAAAATTAGCTCAAATAATAGCATAAAATAAAAATTAGAAATTATTAGTTATTAAGTCAATGGCTTGTGAATTGATTGGTTAGAAACAAATTATTTAATGGAAAAACTACAGCTTCAAATTTATTGAAGCACTCTCTAAATCGTAAGCACTAAAGCACAGAGAAGAAAAATAAGTGTGCTATGAGTGTGAGGTGAGGAGGGCCTACTGACCTAGAGTTAGAGAGCTTGAAGAGAATCAGAGGCAGGGCTGTAGAGGAGGAATTTGTGAGCTACAAGTTAGAGGACCTACTATCGCTTGAGGTAAGGAGGACGATTTGAGCCTTGGAGTTAGAGGTGAGCGATGAGCCGTGAGTATGTGGAGCTGTGGAGGCAACTCAAGCAAACAGCCAACCATTGTCGATTTTGGTGGTAATAACGAGGGATGTCGAGAATGAGATGAGTTGCCAACAGTTGGTTGAGCGATTGGAGAAAAGCTGTCAAGTTGAGTGTGAGTGAGAGATGGGAGAAGATCAATGTTGCAATGGTTGCACAATGGGTAGTGATAGTGAGAGCTTGAAAGGAATCAAAAATGAGGATTGAGGAGCAAAAACAAAGTTACAGTGTAGAGGAGACTAGAGAGGAGGAATCACAAATCTAAAATCTTAAGATAGTCATTCTAGGGTTACCAATGCAAATTGGGCTGGACAATTAGGTTTAAGAAGATTAGATTGACAAAAAGAATGGGCTGGACTTGACAATCGGGTTTGGAAAAACTAAAAAAAAAAGGAATAGAAAAGAAAAGAGAATGAGTTGTGAAATTTAGGTTGTATTGACATCGAATTAGCTAATTAAGTTGGGCAAATAAAAATTAATTGTTAATATATTTACAAAATATATATAAAAATAAATTTATATTTTTTTTATTTTATATGAATTTTCATGCTTTCTCACGAAACAGAAAAAATTTCCTATAAAATTTCACAAAAAAAAAAAGTGCCTTCATCCCTCTGATGAGAATCTTTGCGAAACTCCGCGGATAGTGGAAGAAATTGCCATTCTTAGATGATAATACCGTTAATGATATGCAAAGGACGCCCAGTCAGCCAACACCAAACACCAAAGTACATGCCCATTCCAACGTGCTGCATGGTGAAGTAAACGTCAACGCTTTGCGAATTTATTGGGTAAGACGTAGCATGTTTGGGGGAATTTATTAACAAATTATTTAAATTTGAATGATATGGGTATTCGGCCTTTTAGTCCTTGAATAAAAAAATTAATTTTAAAATTTTGTTTTTAAAGTTTTTTCAATTTCTTCTATTATGTGTTGTTATTATATTCATTATATAATTTTACAATGAGTTTTATAAAAAAAATATAAAAATAAATATTACTTTTAAAATTAGTATTACATGAATGATTTTAATTGAATCAATTTAATTTTTATTTTTAAAATAAATTAATTATGAAAAGATACAATTCATACATTATTAACTTGTGTCTACAAAATTCTTTGCTTTTAAAGTGACTTACATAGCATTACATTAATGCCCTCTATTATACACAAACTCTTAAAAAAAGTAGCTGAACTGGTTAAAAAATTTGATATTCTGAATTAAAAATTTTAGATATGAAAGTTATGTTAGTTAAAGAAGAATTTGGAAATAGAAGAGGGATTATCTCTCTTATATAATCCAGCATTAAACGTAAAAAAAAAAAAAAAAAAAAAAGCCCTTCATACACAGCTTCAACCACACAAACTACGCCAGCCCCTCTCTTGGGTCTGTATGCTGCACCCTTCACTTTCTTGCCTGTCGTCAAAACCTACGTATCCTCCATTCCTTGGTCGATTCGAAATAGTCAGTCAATTGAGACTGAAAATAGATTTCTCAATTTCGATAAACGTGGAATAATCCAAATTTTTTATTAAACGGAGCATATATCTTGAATTTATTTCCCTTTTTTCCCTTTTGTAATTGAAATGGTGAGTGGATGTGTGACTTTTATTCAGTGAGAAAAAAAAGAAAAGATAAAAAATCATATGTACAAAAGAAGTTTATTTATTTTATTTTATTTTTATTATAAAATAAAACTTTTTTATTTTAATTTGTTTTAAATTAATTATTTTTTTTTACTTTTTAAGTAAATAAATATTTTTATTTAATCCTATCATTATTATTTTATTTTAAATAATTATCTTATTACAAAATATATATCTTTATCTTTTAACTTCTTTTTAAAAATAATATAAGTAAATATATGAATTATTTTTAAAACCTTAAAATTTAAAATTAATAATGTGATATAAATTACGTTATTTAAAATATTAAAAAGTACAATGACCTTATATTATTTAATGATTAGTTCCTTTTGTTTTTTTGAAACTTATTATATTGTATGTATAACTAATTTAATAATATAACTTATATTATGTCATTAATTCTAATTTTTCATATTAAATTTTTGTTCTTCATATTATTACTCGAATTATATATTGCATTTGAATAATAAAAGAAAAGAATTTTTTATTTTATTTTTTCATACTAATATTTTGGTATCCAAAACTCATATTAAACTTTGATTAATTTAGAACGGAATCACATTGGATCCTATGTGAGAGAAAATTCTCATAACGTCTATTTTTTTATTTATAAGATTTAAATTCGAGATCTTACTTAAGCAGACCAACTAATTGTTAATAAATTTTTTTTTATAATTTAAACTAAACCATACTGATAAATAAAAATGATTAAATTAAGAATTAGCATTTTATATCAAACAACCCATACCCATCCACGGATATATATTGTACATCCTAGCGTAGTTCAAACTTCACTAACACTTTTTTTTTTTTTTTT